CTCAAGCGAGTCTCCTGCCTCAGCCTCCCAAGTAGCTGGGACTACAGGCACCCGCCACAACGCCTGGCCATTTTTTGGTTGCAGCCATCGTTGTTTGGCGGGCCCGGGCTGGGGATTCGAACCCGCCACCTTGGGTGTACGTGGCTGGTGCCTTAGCCGCTTGAGCCACAGGCGCTGAGCCTCAAGTGATTTTTCTGGCCTCAGCCTCCCAAGTAGCTGGGAGTATAGGCACCTGCCACACCTGGTAAATTGGAATTTCCAAATGTGACTTCTCATGTTCCAACAGCTGGAGTGGGTCATTCTCCTCCCCCTGTTGCTTTTTCCTACAGCTCTCCTGATCTCAGTCCCAGAGCATGGGAGCAGCTGAGGAGCACAGCATTGTGTAATTACCTCTGTTTTGTTCCTGTTCAGCCAGTTTGCAATGTAACCTGTTTCTCCTTGAATGATGGGCTGCCCCCTGGTAGAAATCATACCAGAATGGGTCTCATTAAAATGTCTGATAAATGATTAACGTTCCTTGTGGAATTACTATTCACAGAATGTAAATCCAGGTCCTTGACTGAGTAGAAACTTACACTGTTCTGATGGAGAAGGGCAGGATAGTCCAGAGGCCTGCCCTACCCTAGCAGAGACTGAAGAGAACATCCTGCTCAGACCCCTAAAGTATAACTGGCTCTTTGCCTAACCTTTATCACCAGGCTAACCTGAATATTTCCTTACCTTAGAACTTTCTTTGGGACTGGACTATAATTCATAAAACTTGGTAGCCCTTGGTTTCTCCATTTTTAGTTTTTTGGTTTCAGAGTCTTTCTCCTATCCCAAATACACTACAGCCTGTAAATATGCTAGGATAGGTCTTTAAAACAATAAAACCTTCCCTCTGCCCCCATCTCCTATTTTTAGCTAAATTTCCTGAAGCAGTAGCCTATGTTCACTGTATCCATTTCTGCTCTTTAGCTTATTGCAGTATTATTAGTAGCAACTTGATGGAGCTTTTACAATGTGTTAAGCACTTTATATATATTCCAATCTTATGTTTACAAGAACCCCATAAAGTAGGTGTTAGGAGGTAACACTTCCTTGGGTCTCATGCTCCCTGGTATCTTGCTGAATATGTCAAAAATGCAAAGCCTTGCCCTCAACAAATTCCCAGATGAGCCTGTTCACAGACTTACAGCCCCCTGAATGAAGGATGGCCCTGGTGTCCCTGTAAAAGGACCATACCATGGGGCAAAAACATATGCAAAAGCATATGCCTAATCTTTTCCAGATGTACTTGCAGCGTGTGTTGCACTGGAGACTAGGTATCATGCATTGGAGAAGGTGAAGAAACTAGAATTTTCAAGTATTACTAGACATTGGATCTACACTGATTCTAATTCTAGGAGATCCAAAATGTCACTGTAGGCTGGGCACAATGGCTCATACCCGTAATCCTAGCACTTTGGGAGGCCAAGGTGGGAGGCCCCTTGAGGTCAAGAGTAGGAGACCACCCTGAGCAACACAGTGAGCCCCCATCTCTACAAAAGCTAGAAAAATTATTACATATGGGGGTGGTGGTGCATGCCTATAGTTCCAGTTACTTGGGAGGCTGAGGCAGGAGGATTGGTCAAGCCCAGGAATTTGAGATTGCAGGGAACTACAACACAGTTGGGCTCTAACCTGGACAAAAGAGCAAGACCCCATCTCTAAAAAAAAAAAAAAAAAAAAAAAAATCACTGTGGTTCCCCAGGTACAGTGCACTCATGGAGATCAGGTGTAGGAATGGGAACAGGTTAACTCAGCAGGTGTAAATTCCTGAAATCCTACACATTCCAAAGAAAGCTCATCTTTAGGACTGGTATGGCATATTCCTGGGATATAACTACTTAATTCTTGGAATATTCTATTTTATTAGTGTTTTGGCATCCTGGAGGTCTTGGGCCATGCCATACCAGTTGGCCCAGGTAAGTTTATTCTAACAATGTGGTTTATGGTTAACAGCAGTTTTCTCTCTGGGAGGCTGGGTTCTAAGTAGCTGAGGTCAGTCATATTGGTACTCCAAATCTATGTCACTGACCCCCAATAAAAACTTTGGACACTAAGTCTTGGGTAAACGTTCCTGGTTGCAAATAGTTGGCACACATCACAAATCATTATGAACAGGATTAAGCACATCTCTGTACAACTTCACTGAGAGTGGATATCTGAAATTTTGTGCCTGGTTTCTTCAGGATTTTGCCCCATGTACTTTTTTCCTTTTGCTGATTTTAATCTGGATCCTTTTACTGTAATAAACTATAACTGTGAGTATAGCAAAAAATTAAATTAAGGCTGGGCATGGTGGCTCATGCCTGTAATCCTAGCACTCTGGGAGGCAGAGGCAAGTGGATTGCGCTGAGCTCAGAGCTTGGAGACCAACCTGAGCCAGAGTGAGACCCTGTCTCTTAACAAAAAAAAAAAAAAGCAAAGCTGGGTGGCGCCTGTGGCTCAGTGGGTAGGGCACCAGCCCCATAAACCCAGGGTGGCAGGTTTGAACCAGGCCCCGGCCAAACTACAACAAAAAAATAGCTGGGCATTGTGGCAGGCACCTGTAGTCCCAGCCACTCGGGAAGCTGAGGCAGGAGAATTGCCTAACCCCAGGAGTTGGAGATTGCTGTGAGCTGTGACATCACAGCACTCTATCAAAGGCGATAAAGTGAGACTTTCTCTAAAAAAATAATAAATAAATGAAAATTTAAAAAAGCCCTAGCCACTTTTTACCCAGGCCATTTTTCAGGCTTGTGTCTGAAGCAACCAACCATTGAGAGAGAGGTAATATCTTCATCTGGGACAAAAAGTACCTTGCCAACTATTTACTGTAAAACAGCAAGTTCCCCAAGCTAATTGTTCTTACCTTATATCACAACTTATGTGCCTCTCCATCTGGGGCCCCTCCCATGTTGCTCCTGTAGGACCCAAAAGGAACCAGTGCCTACATGCTCATGCTGCTTGTTGTGCTATGAATAATAAAGTTTTTGTCTCTAACCCAGGAATCTTGTTTTCTCCTGAATCCACGAAATAGTAACAGACTATTACCTTGTAAGCAGGGCAGCCTCAAATTCCAGACCCAACAGTAGGTATTATCTCCC